AGAATTTCCACAGTCACTTTACTTAAACACACGCTATAATTCGCAACGATTCATGCACTTTACTTACGGTCAATACCGCTCACTTGAATCAATTATCTGTCTCTATTTCCATCTATTTGCAATTATTATCTCTGCTTTATTTGCCGGGCTTATATACTAAAATAGAGGGGGCCTAGAAAAGACTAGAGTTGCCAGGAACAGTCGTGATCCTTCTAGAAATTCCAGCATGGATGCTTCTAGTGTCACGTGACTTCTGCTGTCATAACAGTATTTCAACCTTTGTAGGTTTTAGGTCACTGGCAATAAGGTCTTTTGCACAGTACCAGAGCATCAAGTCTCATACAGTTTTCTTGTGACATTTAAATATTTGTTAACCTGATTTTAATATCATATACAATTAATTTGTATTTTATAATTTAACAAAAAACTTCAGCAGTAGAATCTACAAAAGAGAAAATGCATGTAATTAAATTGGTGAATGTTAGATTTTTAAAATAAATCTGGGCTAAACTACTTAAAAGTAAAGTATTGTTTTGTCATAGATATTACTGTCCACTACATATTAGTAAAAATCTCCAACATTATTGAATCCAAAAAACTTAAATCTCTTTGAAATAGCATCATATTAATTTTCATTAATAGGTATTTTCTGTTAGTTAAGTAAATTTTAAATGTTATGAAGTCCTGAATACTTATATTGTTGCAAAAAAAGGTGCTTTTATAGGTTTGATTCATATTTTCACTTATTCTCATACGAAAAACATACTTTTCTTAATGTTTCTTTACAGTATACATGTAAATATGACATTGTCTTTTGATCAGTCACTTACTTTGCTGACAAGTAAATCCAGTCCAACCAGCTACACAACCTTGAATACAAAAGCCATTCTTATCACAATCTATGTGTCCTCCTTCACAATGACATGTGTTCTCACAATTTTCACCAAACTGCCCTTCCACACATTCTGTAATAATATAAAATGTCCTTAAGTAGGTTTACTTTCTCCTTTTTTGTTAAAACACATAGCTATATACTTGCTGAATTAATTACATAATCAATGGCTATAGAAGAAATACTAAGAAAAAGCAGATAAAGGACCACCCTAAGATTCTGGGTGTTATAATTTTCCTATACTGAAAATATATTTCTGATAGGCTTACCTCTTCTTACAAATACAGCTATTCTTGTTCAGTGCTTCGCTCTATATGCAATTTTTTTCCCATGCCACAAGAGTTGCACTCCCACAAACCCCACCATTATTGTGATTCAACTGTTTCTTGCATGCAAATCATTATTGGAAAACTCCACCAATAGGAGTGCAACACACATTCCTGATGCATGTGATGCTTGGGAGTGTATGTTGCACTGCTGTTGGTGAAGTTTTCACATAATGATTTGCATGCAAGATGCAGTTGAATCAGTAGAATCGAATAGGACACATGTGACTCTCTCTCTATTTGATTCTACTGAACTATCAAGTCAAGTTTAGGCAGAAAAAGAAGCACCGGTTTTCAGTGGGGAGGACAGGTGGGAAGTGTGAGAAGAGGTAAGTACCTATCGAAAATTATAACTTCCGATATGGTACATTACCTCACATATAATAGCTAGAATCCCACATTGAAGAGTTGGAGGAACTGGTGCGAGGGATAAAAAGAAGCATCCATAAGAAGGACGAAGAGTGCGATCTTTTTGTGATATACTAAGTATCTCTGGATGGGCAATGCTTGAAACAGAGCGGGATCCTGACAGTAAAAAAAAATTAAAATGTATATAACAAAGATAACTTACCCAGTCACACTCTCACCAAAGTTTGAAGGATCGCAACAGGAAGAAGAGGGTACCCTGACGAGGAAGAAACAGCCATCTGATGCAGATAGTGGGAGATGAATGTATGAGGAATAGTCCACATGCCTGATTGAAGAATTTCCTCCAATGGATGACAGAGGTGATACGCCAGGGAAAAATCAAAAGCCACACCCAGTTGGTAAGTGTTGAAGGAGTAAGGTGGAAATGAAAACCACTGAGGAAAGACATGAGGGCAACGTAACAACAAAGAGCATGTATGGAACATAGAAGCCCATCCAGATCAGAATAGGAATAAAGGTGGAAGCTGGAAGGAAGGGAATTTGGCAAGAAAGAAGAATTATCTCCATGAGCTGCTGATGTCTTGGGAGGAAAAGACTAATCAAGATAAAGGAGAACACGTGGAATGATACAGAATGCATGAGATATTGATGGCAAATATATCATACCTACGATGCCCACAAGCTAATAGGAGTATGAAGTATGTCGTAAGGGAAAAGTGAAACAAAGAACAGGAGGACAAAGGTTCAAATGGAGGTAAAGTAAGGCAGTGAAGAACCACATTGACATCAATATCTGGAAGGACCACTTGATGAGGAGGTCTACAAAAACAGAAGGAATGCAACAAAAGGGAGAGGGTAGGGGAGGTAAAGACAAAACAGTACTGGGAAAAATGGCAGGTGTGGAATAAGGCTGCTCAATATCAGTGATGGATGAGATTGAGGTCCCATAATCAAACAGCCGAGTGAGGAAGTCTGTAATAAAAGGAACAGTTGGTTCAGAATAGGAGAAACCCCAACTCAAACACCAATGGCAAAAGTCGTTCTATTTACCTTGATAAACTGCCATTAAGGAAGGTGAATGGAACAAGCTTAAAAGGAAGGAACCCGCTGAGAAAATCTGTATCTCCTTGTCAAGGACCTGATAAAAGCCAGATGTGAAGACAGAGGGTAGGAATGTTGGGTTGAAATACTGGTGACCAAGCTTGAGGTAGAGGGAATGGAGTGAGAGGAAGAGGCAAAAGAGAGCCAGTACAGAGTTGATGTAGTCAAGGAAAACAGGTTGTGCTGGCCAGTAAGGAGCAATCAGAAGAACCTGACACAGAGTAGCAGGGTTGATCGAAATGACCCAGGGAAGAAGATGGATGAGAGGATAAACATTAAGGTATCAGTTGGTCCAATCTTGGCTGAATGCATTGACAGCTAGGGCTTGTGGATGAAAAAACAGAATCAAAAAAAGAAGTAACATGAAATTTAGGAAATTGGCAAATGCATCCAGCCGAGGAGTACCCCACTGTAAGCCTAGCCATTGGAAAATCTGAGGATCGAAGGTCCACCCAGTGGGATAAATTTTGTCTGGTCTGGAAAGACAATCTGCCACAAGGTTGAAAGCACCCAGAACATGACATGCCAGAAGATTTATCCCAAGCATGTGGGCCCAAAAAAGTATATCCAAAGTTCCACCACAAAGGGAATGAGAATGGGTGCCATCTTGGTGGTTGATATTAATTTTCACTGTAGGATTGTCAGAATGTATCATGACAAGTCGATTCCCGACTATAGGAAGAAAATAATCCAAAGCTCGTCATTCTGAAAGAAGCTCCAATGTCTTGATATGGTAAGATACCTCATAGACCATTTTTCGGAAGCCTCCTGCTGATCCATACACGCTTACAACCATGTTGGAACAAATTGGTGAAGAGATGAAAGTCTGGGCAAGGAGGAGGAAGTGATATATCGAACGATGTGTGGGCCTTGTTCAACTACCGACACATATTGTCAATGAGGAAAGAAGGAAGGGTAATGGAAGAATCCAAGGGCTCTGAACAAAATTCCATTGGTCATACTAAAGAGATCACATATGTGCCCGAACCAAAAGTGTTAGAGCCTTGCAAGCAGTAAGAGAGGGAGCATCAAGAGTGTGGAGTACTGAAAGCTCCATTGAATGGCATCAAAGAGGAGAAGGTTGGACCCAACTGAGGTGAGAGTTGAAAAAGACCCCCAAGTGGACAAGATATTGGGTAGGGGACACGAAAGATTTCTCCAACCCACTCAAACAGCTTCTGACAGAAGGAGAAGAGTGTGACGTGAAGACTCCATTTGGGAATGAGCTAACAGAAACCAGTCATCCATGTAGTGGTGTAAGCACAACCCCCAAGCATGCATAAGTTGGGAAAAAGCTCTGACCACTCGACAAAAGACTTACAAAGTTGAAGTAAGCCCAAAGGGTTAGGTCTGAAACTGGTATACAATCCCATGATGGGCAAACTGAAGATAGCATCTGCATGAAGGAGAAATAGGAATTTGAGACATCTACCTTGGTTATCCACAATCCCAGAGAGCAAGCCCACCTTAGAGTGAGAAAGGACTACATTGTAAAATGGGGGAGGTCCAGAAATTGATTGAGGTAGGACAGATCGATTACAGGATGCCAGCCCCAAGTTTTGCTGAGGACCACAAACATCCTGGAGTAAAAACATGGAGAAGGATGGCTGATAGGCTTGATAGCTCTCTGTGATAGAATAGTCTGTACTGCCTCTGACAGACATTAACTAGTAGTTGGATCCTAAGGTAATGGAAAGGATATGGGTATGGGAACAATGGGGTGGAAAAAGGAATTGGATGACAAGTCCTTCTGATAAGACCTGAAGAACCCAATGATTGGTAGTGAATTCCCACCACAGGGGAACAAAATAGGTCAAACGAGCCTCAACTGGACTGAATCCACAGGATAGTCACTGTTGTTGGTGACAATGAGACCTGCATCAATAAACATAATGTAACATGGAACCCATAGTGGGAGGAACAGGTAAAGGATGAGAGAGTGTCAGATGTGGAACAGGATTACAAGAGTCCAGGGTGAGACAAACGAGCAACCAAGAATGAAAGGGTCAAATATTGCCTCATAGATTCTACATGTGATTTCAAAGTTTAGGAATACTCCCAAAAATGGGCTGGTAGAGAAAACGAGCCATCCGCAAGTCCCAATAGTAAGTTGATGGTAAACGAACCTTAGACAAGATAGCATCCCAACAGCAAAGAAACTACATGTGAAGAGATAGAGCCATGGAGAGCAAGTGCACCAATGCAGATGTAAGGAGGAAGAATGTATCCCCCCCCAAAATCCCTCAGGAAATCATTGGAGTGCCTCAGATGGACAAGTACCACAGGAGAGTCGTAAGGGTATGACAAAAATGGGAATACTGGGCCTGGGATAAATGGACAGGATTGTCAGGGTCAGTTCTCCACACTGGCAGCAGTGATTTTAACTGCTGAGAATCAAGAAAGGGGTAGTCTGCCTGTTGGTAAGCCAAGGCAAACTGATCCATAGCTCATGGTGAGCAAGGCATATTAGCATCAGCTTGCAACTGAGAAACTAAATGCTAAGCATGAACCTCGACATCAGGAGAAGGAGGGAAACAAAATAGAGGGAGGAAGGGGTATCATTGGGTTCTTTAATCAACACAGTCCCACTGATAAAAAAACCACAGATTAGAAATCCTTTAAAGTTTGTTCATTCTTAGATAGAACACATCAAGAATCACCACAACCACATCAATGAAGTTACAGACTGACACAACCCTAAAAAGAGTGTACATTCTTCAAAAGCCACATAACCATGTATGACATCCTCATACTAATCCTCAACAGTTATGAACAGTCTGGAAAGGCTACAACCATGGACAAACTCCACAACTCTTACATCTGGCAAATTTGTTATAAACTGTACTAGTAAATACTGGATTTCTTGTAAACATACATGATTATTTCTCAGTCTACAGAGAGATAAGGCAGACATTAAGTGTGATGGAGTTTTCACATACATACTTAAGCAATAGAGGTCTGCTTGAGCCTTTACTTGGCATTATAATCATATGGACAATTGTTTTCAAAACACATTATAATAACAATACTTTTTAGCTTTTGCAAAATTACAAAAATCAGATGAACACAACTTAATTAGTGAAGACTAATGCCAAGTCAGAAAGAAAGAGCTTGGACATAAAAACGTTTTCCACAAGCAATCATGGAAAAATATTACTGAAGGCACACTGTATAACATTGTAAGTGTTAGTAGTGCTGTTGAACATTTCCAATAACAACAATATTCCATGACTAATATTTCATTACAACTGTAAAATACTACTCTATTGATTATTTAAACTTTTACTTCTTTTTATATCAAATGCACATTTCTCTGACTGTCCTTTATCAGTCATATAAAGTACTACTGCATAGTCGTTTTTTTTAAAAACAGAAACCATTATTTGTTCAAGAGCAACAAACCTTTGTACATGTGAAAAAAAGAAAAGGTTTATGCCAAAAATGATTTTCTGTTGTAACTTTTCACTCAAAAATACTTAGGCATTAGATGAATAAAAAGACTGACCCACTGTTTACTTTCTAGACTATACCAATTAATGTTTCATACCATCACAAGAAGGTCCTGACCATCCATTTTCACACTTCCCTGGACAAGTACCAGTTAAGCTGTCACAAGCTACACCATCTTTGCAGTGGCATTTTTGGTCACACGTTTTTCCAAACTTTCCAACAGGACAACTAATATTTGTGTTGTTTGGTAGAAAAGTTGCTGATGGATCTACAATAAGTGCCAGATTTTAGTTTCAAAACTTGATACAATTATTGACTGTCACATTAACAAATATTAAATTTTCTTCTAGAAATACCTTTTTCCTTCCCAAAAGATACAACATTATATATAAAACCACAAAAGGTTAAGAAAGTACTATACCAAGAAAAACAATGGAATAACAAAGCAGAGTGGATAAAGAAGAGCCATTGGTTAATAAAACTAAATGTGCAACAGTTATAAGATAACAAAGTAAAATAAAAATCAATAGTTTTCCAAATATTGGTCAAATCAAAAAATACACATCAATTAAAATTATATTACAAGAAGAGCATCCATAGAATGGAAAAATACATGGAATATTAATAAGATATGTAACCCGAAGAAGGATTTGAAATGGATTCCAAAAGATTACCCAATAACCAAAAGCAGAAGCAGAGGTAAGGATAATTTCACTGTCAACAGCTAATTCATTGCTTGAAATCTCTATGAAAAAAAAGTGATAAGTAGAATGTTCTTAGAGGACTAACTAAAAAAAAAACTTAACAAATAATATATATTAAAAAAATACTAAATGCTATAAAAATGATAAACTCCTGTTCTTGTATAATTGTCTATTGATAATGGATCATCATGGTTGACCTTTAGAAGAGTAAACAGAGTGTCAGAGTAATATATATAACAATAGAACAACATAGAAAATGAGAGAAACAAAAGGACAGCATTTATGAACCAGTCATAGAATAAAGATGTTACCCATAAAAAAGACTATTTTTGACAAAAGAAAAAGTCACAGAGTAACATGACATTAGAAAGACAAAATCATAAACTAAAAAGATATGATACAAGAAAAAAAACACCATAAAACTACAGGACATTACATGCTGAATTCACCAGGTACTAAAACATTAGATAAAAATATATGATAAAATAAAAAGAGTAAGAAATTGCTACATCGTGAAAATATCAGGAATTTTAGAATATTTTTGCTTCAAAACTTTTTTTCTCATCAGATTAGATTACTTAAAAAACTGTATCAATAAAATCTAAATAGCTGAAAAGAACTATCAGCCAAGTGTGTACATATATTCATATTTTATCATAAAAACTGATCCTAGATTTAAAACTTCATAAAGACAGTAATTAAAAACAATATATATCTCACACAGATAATCTTATACTGATAACATTAACAATGCTTTTAAACGAACATTCATCAATGCTGGAAATCCATTAAAAGACTTGTGAGTAGAAAATAATACATTATTTATGAGAAGTAATAGCCGGATACAACATTTTTGATTAAATTTTGAGAGTATTTTAGCAAACCTAACAAGTAACTAGTTATACCTCGTATCTGACACGATTCACCAATCCAACCATGGTCACAGCCACCATCACACTCTCCTGTTATTCGGTTGCAAGCTTTTGATCCACTAATACAATGGCATGGCTGCTTACAATCTGCTCCATACCAACCAAGTTTACATTCTAACAAATAAGAAATCTTGGCTGCTGATAAGGCTTTTTTTTTAAAGAAAAACTATTTCATTACTTTTTCACACAGCAGGAACCTTTCTTACTTATTTGAATTATCTTAGATATTTCACTGATTTAAATTTTTTTAATGTGAGTTTTTAGCTTTTAATTGATTAATTTGAACTTAACTTTATATCTTTAACAACATAAGGCATATGTTGTTTATAATGTCAGTTAGTTATCATTACTAAAAATATTTCATGAAAAGAGAATCAGTGTTGCATTCAATGTCCAGTTGCTTTTCGAAGGCTCCATATAATTAGAGTTCTAAAAGCTCACAATAAAAAATGAGTTTTTGTAATATGGTAAAAAGTCCAATATGGTGAGCAATTAAATGATGATTAATCTGTTTTATAAATCTTCTTCTTCATTTATTACTCTCATAATTCCATTCTATCCTACAAGCACATCATTTTTTCATTTGTTTCGCTTTTCTAGAATAAAATTACAAACGTTTATATTTACACAACTTTAGTTGTTCTATCCTTTAAGCAGCTAATAACTTAACACAGTGTTAAGCTGCATAAAGTGTCAAGTGAATGACAGTTTTGTTGACATTAGATTACAAAATGCACAATTATATACACATAATAACACATTATATCAATTATATATGCAAAACAAAATGGAATTTTAAAATTGATCTAAGTTTCACATTTGCCATATTACGTCATTTAACTTCTGTTTAAATTACATTATACAATTATCTGTTCATGGAGAAACATAAAGTTTGAAATCTACAATATCCAATAAAAATAAACTAACTGTATTTTGAAAAAAATAACAATTCTGAGAAAATTTCAGGTTTTTAAATGTACATTTATCTAATAGATTGTTCATTATACTAGTTACAGCATGCAAGTAAACCATATCTAACATGAAATAACAAAATAAGTTCCATATTCTTTCACGATGCTATAATATAATAACCCAAAAATACTTTCAAGATGTAGAAAAACATTTTCAAACCACAAAATTAATTTATGTAACATTATAATGCATCTTTATAATTATTGTTAAAAAAAAACAGTCTTGAATCAGATATGTACATGTATATATAGAATAACATTTTAGCGCATAAAAACAAATCATCCCTAAAAATTACACAGGAAACAACACATCCTGCCACACGGACTAGCAGCAGGAAGCCCTTTTTATCACTGGTATTACAAACTAAATATCATGAAATCTGGGTGTTTTTATCAAGAAATGATGGAGCACTGAAGTAAATGTAAGTTGTATACCTATAGCACATTTAGGCCCTTTGTAGCCCGGAGCACAGGAACAACTATATGGGTCTGGTTTACAGAACAGATGAATGGCACAACCGCTGTCTACATTCCCTACTGGTGAGCAAATCTTGGTGCAATCAGCCCCAAAGTGATTAGCACCACAAGCTATAATAATAGGAACAACTGAGATTAACAAGATTTGTCACTCAACATAAACAAGTGATTAATAACTTCTAATCAAAACAGACCACCTACATAGATCAAAACTAGCAATGAATTTCATTAATGATGTAGCTAATTCAATACACCAGTCTAACTAGGAGTATATATATGTATTATCATAAAACAAAACTCACAGATTTTATAATATGGGAAAACTTGCATATTCTAAGAAAAAATGCATGAAGAATTATTTTACAATATTTAACTTAAAAAACAGGATATGCTTACATAAAGTAGTTAATATGAGCTGTAATTCTTTCCTTATATAAGTAATTCTTATTTTTATGTACTTGTTTTTGATAAAATGATCCTTTTGTGACTGTATTACTGGAGAATAATGCTTTTTTTTTAACACTAACATGCTTGTCAGAAATTACATTTTGTGTTACAACTGAGAAAATGCATTATATATTGTTTTGTTCTATTAAATTGGTGTCTAACTGAAAACAAATCTTCATTATTGAATCTCGTGTTTAGATCAGATTTTATTTACTTTACTTTAAATTTTCCCTGCCATGTGTATAAAAAGAAATTCAAAATTTGGTGTTTGTTATCCAAACAAATCAAAATGACTCTTTTGTCAATGTAATTAGCGCAATATATGGAGAATAACAAACACAAAAAGAAATATTCATGTAATGTACTTACCTTTTTCACAGTGCAATCCCATGAATCCTGGTGGACAAACACACATTCCCCACAGGTCATGACAAATTCCACCGTTATAGCATATAGGACAATCCTGATCACAGAGTTGACCAAATTTCTCTGCTTCGCACCCTGAATGTCAAGTTTACTTGAGATTTTTTCCAAAATTACTAATACACTATGCATAAATTAGGTCTCTCAAAATATTTTATTCAAAATACAATGTTAAACAAAACAATGTAAGGTAAGACAGACTAATTCCTTTGTTAGCTAAACAAAAATATTAATAAAGGATCTTTACCTAACTATGGCTTATTAAAAAAACACTATTGATTAATTTCTTATACTGACAAATATGGCAGAATATTACAAGTTATTTTACTTGTTTCAGGGAAATATTAATAGATTACTTTTATTTCATATTTAATATTTTCACTTCATGAAAAATAAGAGATTTTACAAATAGAAATAATTACTACATAACATTATTTTAATATGTTATTTTTTCGCTTCAGAGGAACAGGAGAAACTCGAAGAAACATGTTTACTCTTACACTAAAAAGCTGAATATTACACGTACGTGTATTTAACAATATATATTGTTTGCAATTCATAGCTGTAATGATGTAAGAAAAATTGCATTATAAATCACAAAACATTAGTTTTTAATAGAGTATTTATAACCAAGTGAAAAAATAATATCCTTCTCTGTGGGTATTGTATATAGTGTATATAAAATAAATACATTTCCTATGGATATTGTATATAATGTATATAAAAGAAATACCTTCCCTATGGGTATTGTATACAATGTATATAAAATAAATACCTTCCCTATGGGTATTGTATATAATGTATATAAAATAAATACTTTTCCTACGGGTATTGTATATAGTGTATTGTTGGGAATGCCTTCCCTATGGGTATTGTATATAATGTATTGTTGGGAATGCCTTCCCTATGGGTATTGTATATAGTGTATTGTTTGGGAATGCCTTCCCTATGTGTATTGTATATAGTGTATTGTTGGGAATGCCTTCTCTATGGGTATTGTATATAGTGTATTGTTGGGAATGCCTTTCCTATGTGTATTGTATATAGTGTATTGTTGGGAATGCCTTGATTGCCATATCTTTGATTGTATTCTGATTGAAAGTCAATTTTTGTTTGTTTCAGATGTTTCTGCAAACCTATACAAGGGCTATTTGCACTAGCTGCTTCTAAGTTTGAACTGATAAATTAAAAGGAATGCATCTAGTCTACATCACCAATCACCAACTTTTGGCTACTTTAATTGAACAGTAAAATGTGACCATCACTCTTATAATGCTCCCAAGATCCCAAAATGCAATTTTCTAACAATGGGATATAAGCCACGGACTCTTGGATACACAATCCAGCACACAAATCACTTGACCACACCTGAACCTTCACCTTCATTTGAGTAACTGAACAAAATGTGTTTATTTATCATCTTTAATTCAAACATCACTCAAGGATTACCACTATGCTTTTATACAAATTATTTCATATCTTTCAAAATTAAAAACAAAATATATTTTGGATGAGTTAGGAAGTAGCCGAATAAGTATAATATTATCAAAATGTATTTGCATTAATATTGTTGCATCAGCGAGGTCACGTGACTAGT